CTTTAACCCCTGCGTCAGGGAGGCCCAGGTCCTATCTTCTGGTAGCTTCTGACAGCTCCATTATTCCCTGCCAGTCCTATGCTGGTCTTCTGCCTTTGTTGCCCTTGTGCACCAGAAGCCAGGGGGCTGGTTCTCTTCCGCTGCTGAGTTCCAGAGCCTGACACCTAACACGCATCTCTCTTGCATTTCAGGATTCCTGGTGGTCTGGCCCATGCTCCTCCTGCCTGTCCTCCTAGCAGGGCTGTTCTGAGAACTCACTGGGTAGCAGCCTTCACTTCCCTCTGGCCCTGGCTTCCATCACCCTCTGGCTCTTCCGGTTCCCTCAGATCACGTAGACAGTGTTAGCGTCCACAGACCCCAGGCTGGGCGAGGCTTGGGGAAAGCGGTGAGCTTCCCTGGCTTAACTCTCTGCGTGTCTTCCCTTTTTGCCCCCGTGTTGGGACCCTGCTGCCTCTCTTGGGCTGACTTCCTCATTCATTAGCAAGACCTTGAAAATAAACTTGCCAGGTGTCTCTGGCTCCATCTTCACCAGAAGCTGGCATGTGTTGTAACTCCAGGGCAGAGGTGTGAGGTTGCTGGAGGGCAGGGAGGGGATGACACCTTCTCCAGTGCCTCATCCTCACGCCTGACACATCTCACGGACTGATTTGCTTTCACCCTGATTCCTCTGACGCATTTCTGTCATGGTCACAAGGATTCCAATGGGAACTTATAGGGGGTCATTTTCACAGTCCCTGCTTCAGGGAAGACAGGTCTTCATTGCTCCCCGGGCCCTACTATACCACAGACATGCTTCACTGTGCCCACAGCCGCACTCCCTGCCCAGGGCCCTGGGTGCGGGGGCACTGCTGGCTGTGGGTGCAGGGACACTCCCCTAGCTGTACGCAGCAGGGCTTGCTCTGGAAGGTGAAGATGGGAGTGCCCATGGAAATCACCCATGGGGATGTAGCCATAGAGCTTGGGAGAGCGGACGCCCCTTTGGAACTCTACAAAGTTCTTCACAAAGATGCCACAAACAGAAAATGTTTCTTCTCACCTGCACATATGAGGCCCCTCCAGGTTGCTGGGAAAATGACAGGCTTGGGGTCAGGGCTTGGGAGGGGGAGCCTGTTTATCATCAGGGGAGGACTCTGCAAGGTGCTTCCCTGCTCAGAGGAGGTGTGGCTGCAGAAAGAGGAACCACCTTTGCGCCTCTCTCTTCCTGAAACCACACAGCCCTCACTGCTTGTCCTGCATGCCCCCTTCACTTCGCCCTCCCTCTCACACCAGCTCTCCCTGTTGGCGCATCAGCTCTTGATTGGATAAAGACATTGCAGCTTCCCCTTGGTCCTCATCCAGGGACACAGAAAGCCCTGGCAGGCACATCCAGAGATTCCCCCCCCCCCCCGGGAGTCTGGTTCCCACTCACCCCAGCCAGAGCTTCCCTGGCCCATGTTCCAAGTCCGGCTGAGTGGGGTCACCCAGCACAAACATAGCGGGCCCTGAACAGAGGGGGGTGCTTCTTGGGCAGACACCCCAAGGCCACTGTGAGAGTCATCTCTTTAAAAGGAGGTTCCTAGGAGGCATTGCTTCCTGTTTCCCAGTTAGTTAGTGGGTTCACAGCTAGCACATCCCAAGACAGGGATTCCTGAGCAGGAGTAAACTAAGAGATGCCCAGAGGTCCTAACCTTCCGTCTCTGGGCCTCATCTTCTGCCTTCTGTAGAGTTAAGGGGCTTGGCCAGAACAAGATCCTCGAACATTTATTCTTGGATAGCCTTTACGTACATCTGATTTGTCCCAATTAAAGGCTGATAAACTCATGTTGATGTCAGGCAGGCCGCTCAGCTCCCCATTCTGAGAATCCCTGCCTCTACTCCAAACTCTTTTTCATAAAGGATTATAAATCACCTTTTATTTCTTTCCTAAATATCTGGGTAGAGGTTTTACTTTTGTAAGAAACATTTCCATGTATGTCTCTTGCAAAACTGAAACCTCTATCCAGGTTTCAGAGCCCCTTCTTGCCACGGTCAGGACAGCCCATGAAGTTCTCTGCCATTAATGAAGACTCAGAGTCTAAATGAATTTGCAGCAGGGGAGGCTGGGGAGAGAGCCGTCGAGAGTAGCTCTGCCTTTCACTTGCCCAGCCCAAGATTTTATTGAATATATGAAAAAAGGAACAAGAAAATAGCACGCAATTGTGTTTATACTTATACAGATTAATAAATTACTGCTGAAAACAAGTTTTCTAGTTAATAGGGAACATGTGCACAAGCCAGCATGTCCTCAGAGACCAGGAGTCAATTCTGTAATGCCTGGAACTCCACACACAGAGTAGACAGGTCCTCTCCAAAAACTCCAGCTCCCTTCAGGGCAGCAGCCTCCCAATTCCTTCTATAATATGTTTTCTATTTCCTAAAACCACCAGCCTAAAATAATCCTTATGGCAAAGAGACATTATTTCAGAGAGGCAAACTTTGCTCCCTTACACCTTCCAACTCCTCCCTCCAGTGTAGAGCTGACCAAGTCCACTTTGTCAAGTCTTAATAGCACATTGTGGACAAGGAAACATACTTTTCTTACTTCCTCTCTAAATTCTCAACTCAGACATGCTCTGTAATAAAAGACAGATTAACAGGAGAAAAACAAGCAGAAGTTTAATAATGTTAGGGAAGAAAGGAAATTTCCCTCACCCCTCTGGGTTCTTCTTGAGCTGGTCAAGCAATCCACATCAGACAATTTAGCAGGATAAAAGGACAAATTTGATTACATATGTATGGAGAATTCACACATAAGTGGATTCTAAAGCTATATACAGGGCTATATATCCTGATCTAAGGAATGGGACAAGAGCTGGGTTTCAAGGTGAGAGGAGGAATCTCAGGAAGAGAAGAGGGTTTCACATGACCAGATGCTCTGTAATTGAATGTTTGTCCTGCCATCCAGATAGGTTTCTCTGAAAGAAAGTCTGTATCTGGTAAAACAAAACAAAATTTGAAAATTTTCTTATAGGTTTTATATTTATATATAATTTGGTATTATACCAAATTTTCATTCATTTCGTTAGTTAGGAGAGACATGAAAGTTTCTCATGAGCCTGCAGGGGTTCATTGACCTTAGCTATAAATAATCTACATATCAAATCGGCATGTCTTGAGGTGCATACTTCCATCACATGTATACCTCCTATGTTCCTGGGAAAGACCCCAGAAAATGGAAAACACTACAAAGTAGCCCAAAAGAGTTGAGAAAGGAGGTTCATTGAAGGAATATCTATAAGATAAAGTCTCAGGGCTAATTAAATTTCCACCAAGAGTGGATATGTCAAATAAATCATGCATTTGGTGGGATATTGTGAAATTAATAAAACTTTTGTCATATAAGATTAGTTGATCTGTGAAAATCATGAGAAGTAAAAAAGCAAGTTTCACAATATCAGGTAGAAGTGAAAACACAATTTCATAAAACAGTATATATAAACAAAAAATAATAGAAGGAGATATACCCAAATATTAGCAGTGGGCAATAATTGCAGATTATGAGTGAAAAGAATTTTCTTCTTTGCCTTTTTCTGTATTTTTCAACATCTTCTATATTGAACATAGATCAGTTTTATTGCCATAAAGGCTGACTACATTATATATTTATGTTTAAGAATAATTAAAAGAAAATTCTCCATTAGAAGGAAAAAAAAGAAAAGTTCTTCTTTGTAGAAAAATGTCACCTAATTAATGCATGAGGAATGGCAGTTTAAAATCACCATTTTGCATCCTGTATGTTAATAATTGATCCAGGAAAGAATCAGAAAATTACTGGATGACAGTTGATTGGAGAATAAGATAGTCATGGAATTTCACATGGTTACTCCACAGATTACTTAATAATCATAAAGGAGGGGGAATACATCTTGACAATGGAGAGAATTGGTAGTGAAAACCTTAACTCAAAGGATCAAAACTATCAGTTTCCAAAGTGGGATAACACAAAGTTTCCCCAATTAGAAGAAATAAGAAATATGCAACATCACCTAAGTAATAGCCTTGCTAGAAATGGATATTCCAAGTCTCATTATGAGGACACAATAGATAAATCTAGAATTAGGGACATTTAACAAGAAAACAGGTCTCTACTTTTCAAGAATGTTTATGTTATCAAAAGCAAAAAAAGGTCAGCTTTGTTTTAAGTCAAAAGAACTGGACACACGAAAACCAAATAAATGATCCTTGATCACATTTTGGATTACAAAAACTAAGAAATACATTTTGATGACAATGGGAAAAAATAGAAATATACAAAAAATATTAGATAAAATGAAGGAACTGTCTTTAATTTCTCAGGTAATGGCAATTCAGGACAAAGTGTTGTATTTGCACTGTCTCCCAAATAACTCTTCAAAATCATATAAATGCAAATGAGGCAAGATACTCACAATGTGTGTACAGCTGAGAAGCATGCAGGTGTTCATTGTGCTATTTTTAAAAAAATTTTTGTAGGGCCTCCCCTGGTGGCGCGGCGGTTGAGTGCTGGGCTGCAAAGCTGCCCGCAGGCTCTGCAGCCCTGGTTCGATCCCCGGCTGCCGGTGTGGGTCCCACATGGCACGCAGACCTCTCCTGCTGTGCCCGCTGGTCCCCTCAGCAGTGTATTTTGTCAGTCTGCCTGCTCTGCTCCCCGCTCTGGCTCTGGTGAATCCTCTCACCCTCCCGCTCTTCTGACTGTACCCAGTGCTTGTATAAATAAATAAATCTTTTTTTTTTTTTTTTTTTGGTGGGACCCTCATCGGTGGCCGGGGAACGAACCAGTGCTGCAGAGGCTGCGGGCAGCCTCGCAGCCTAGCGCTCAACTGCTGTACCACCAGGGGAGGCCCAATAAATAAATAAATCTTTAAAAAAATTTTGTAGATTTGACAATTTGCAAAATTAATGTTGACACAAAAGTATCTGGCAAATCATGCAATGGTCTAGATTGACGACACCATTATTGTAATGACAGTGGGAGTGTTTAGAGAAAGGAAAGTCTTCCTTACCATGTGTGGATAGTACAGTGAGCTGGGTTGCTTCCACTGAACACGAAAGGCAATATTCCCTTCTTCTCCTGCAGGCAAGGTATTTGAGTTTTCATCCACAATCTGAAATTCAGAAACCATGAAGGGATTTTTCCTTGCACAACATTTGTTCTGTTCCTAAAACACCAGGAGATCTAAAGCCAAGGCTATCACCTCACTGTCCCCACAGGGATCTAGGAAATTGCTCGGTTGGTTGGTTGGTGTAGAGACAGCAAACTGAGAGGCAGTGGCTACTGCATCAGAGGGACAGAGTGGGAAAGAGCGGGGTTTGACTGTCTACTCTCCACCGCTGACATTGACAACCTGGATCCTTCAGTTCTCTAAAGCTCAATTTCCTCATCTAGAAAATGAACACTCTGAATTTTATTCTGAGGATAAGATGAAATATCCAACTAGTACAGACTATTGGGAAGCAGGAATTGCAGGGAAAGAGCAGGTGTGATCATGGAGTGAAGTGGCAAAAGTTACATCCTGACCTCTACTCAGTGATTTTTCACCTCGTAGCAAGTATCTCCAGACTTCTGATACCATTTTGGAATAAATGTTAAATACACACCCAATTTTAAGGGTTATACCCTTCCAAGTTGTCACCTTGGAAAGAAATATTCATTCTTATTCTGAATTGTCCTTGCTGAATACTCTAGATTTTTTCTATAGGAACAGCCAGCTCTAAGAGTCAGAAAGTCTCTGGGGCAGTAAGAAAGACTTCATGCCTCCAAGACAAACTTGCTTTATGGGGGAAAAACAGGTGTCCAAGTCTAGCAGACAAAATGAATTATCTGGCGAATCAATTTTCAAATGAGATTTGAGAAGTTGATTTTATGGTAAATGGAATTGTTTCCTTAATTTCATTTTTGGATTGTTCATTGCTAGCATATGGAAGTATAATTGATTTTTGCATTTGGTTTTGTATCCTGAAAATTTGCTGATATCATTTATTACGTGTGTGTGTATTCCTTAAAATGCCCTATTTGCAAATTGTTAATCATTTTGAATTGAGATAGTTTCCATTCCTCTTTACCAATTTGTATGCTCTCTATTTTGTTTTCTAGTCTAATTGCCCTGGATAAAACCTCTGTGCTGAATAAAAGTGGTAAGAGCAAACTCCCTTGTAAATCCTGATCTTGGAAAATTTCAGTCTTTCACTGTGAAGTGTGATGTTAGCTGTGGGTTTTTGTAGATGCTATTTATCCTGTTGAGAAACTTCCCCTTTATTCCTTTTTTTAACACTTTTTTTGGCACTAAGGTTATAATATTGGTTTATATCATTATTTGTGTTTCCCTCCTTCCGCCCCCTTCTGCACACACTTCAAGTATTATTGCTATGGCTCACCCATCACCAAAAGCACCTGGGGATCCACCACCTCAATCCACCCTGCTCCCTCCCAACTTTATTCTCATGGCTCCCTTCTTTCTCTGGATTCCTCCGTTCTAGAACCAATTTTTCAGAGTTAGTTTTTAAGTTTGGTTTTATCTTTTCCTTTGTTTAGTTTCTCTGTATTCTACCAATAAGTGATGCCATCTGATATTTTTCTCCTTCTGATTTATTTAGCTTATCATAATCTCTTCCAGCTCCATCTGTGTTGCCAAGAGAGGCATCAATTTATCTTTTTTGATTGCTGAGTAGTATTCCATTGGATAGATATACCACCTCTTCTTGATCCGCTCATCTGCTTTTGGGCATTTAGGTTGTCTCCACATTTTGGCTATTTAATTAGTGCTGCTATGAGCATGGGAGAGCAGTATTTGCTTTGAATTAGTGTTTTTGTGTTCTTTGGGTAGATACCTAGGAATGGCATTATTGGGTCACACAAGAGATCAGTCTGCATTCCCACCAACAGTGTAAGAGTGCTTCTGTTTTCTCAACATCCTCACCATCATTGATAGTTGTTGTAATTTATCAAATGCTTTTCTCTTCATTATAGAGATGATCATGGATTTCTGTTCTTTGATTCTATTAGTATGCTATGTTATATTGATTGATATCCATATGTTGAGCCAAGCTTGTATGTCTAGAATAATCCCACTTCCATGTGGTATATAAACCATTTATATGCTACTAGTTATGTTTGCTAGTATTTTGAGGTAGATTACTGTGTAGTTTTCTTTTCTTGTGAGCTCTTTGATATCGGCAGTTGGATTGTCCTGGCCTCATTTGATATTCTCACTTTGAGACCAGCCATCAAAACTCCCCCTCATATTTTTGGGAAGAATTTGTGAAGAATTGCTGTTAATTCTCCTTCAAATGTTGGTTGTCCTTACACCAGTGAAGTCATGATTGAAAGTGGAAGTTGCTACTTATTCGCTGGGTAATCTTGGTAAAGTTACTCTAACCTGTTAAGCCTCAATTTTGTCATCCATTAATTGGGGATAGTAATGATACTCTTGTGTTAGGATTGTGGCCATGAGCAAATGAAATAACATTGCTAAGTGGTAAGGACCTTGTTTGGCACTTAGTAAGAGCTCAATTAACAATAACTGTCATACTCATTACCTATGATTTCTTACCTGTACAATATAAGGTGGCAGTGGCTTCCCCAGAGAACCTGGCTTTAATTTCATTTGTTTGGAAGTGGCACAGAGCAGCCCCTGCATTAAAGAAATACAGAAAAGTTTTTGCCTTTAAAAAGGGAGTGAATAAATTGACCTAGCCATTAATCACCAATATCTGATGTCGCCAGGAAAAAAAAAAAAGAGATAACCACACCTTATATGCCTCCTGATGGAAGAATATTATATGACCTAAGAAATAGTATAGGAAAAGAAAAAATAAAGCAGGGATATGATTACACCTCCAGATCTATCTACCAATTGTAAGGAAATACAGAGGAACCCCAACATGTTAAACGCCTTAAGGGTGCAACTAGCAAAACCCAGACTGGGAAATATTTGAAAGGACCAACATCTCAGCAATTTGTTACCTTTTTCAAGTAACAAATTACAAAGAGAAAAAAGAGATAATGAGGAAATCCAAAGACTAAAGATATGTAAGACTATCAACTCATCACAGCAGGTGGACCCGGTGCAAACACATAGCAAACAATAGAACATCACAGTTTCGCTTTCTCCACATCCTCTCTAGCACTTGCTGTTGGGTGTCTTTTAACATGTTCCTTTCTCAGCAGTGTGAGAGAATATTTCATTTGCCCATAATCCTTTGTCTTATGATCAAAGAAGAGTCTCTCTAGTTTAAGCCATTTTTCTCCTCATGTATTTAAGATCCAGCTATCTGCACGTGCACCTGGTGCTTTGACAAAGTGTTTACATAGTAAATGGACAAGTGTGGTTAAATGACAGTATTAACTGACTGACCGTCCAGTATCAACCTACAGTTTCAGTCTTCGCATAGCCTTCGTAGATGTTCAACTTAGTGATGCATTTCCAGTTTGCTATCATCCCAGGGCTTATGGGTCCTCCTGCAGACACACAATGCTTCAGGCTCTTGGATCTGTAGCTGGAGGGTCATCACAAGTTATTCTTAGGCTTGGTGAACATTTCTACCAATAACAGGTCTGTTGTAAGGAAGACTCTTGGGAAAATGATACAGATATTGCCAAATACGTAGGAGGTACTCATGAAGTGGTCTTGATGTTTTTATTTCTAGTTTATTAAATAAATCTATTTCAGACCTTCCACTTGGATCAGTCTCCATGAAGACTCTCATTTGTTTTTCTGGAGTAGAAGCATTAGTGTTAAAAGTGAATGGATCATTTAACTGATAGAAATGATTGACTGTTAGAAAGTGGCCAGCCGTCTGAAGGAAGGTCTAAGGTACAATGTGGAGTGAAAAATACAGTGTGATACTCCCTATTTAATCTCTCACCAGTATTAGAATATATTTCTATGGAGGTAGATAGAGACATAAATTTATTTTTTAAAGGTCTAGAAGTATCTCTATTCACTAGAAGAGTTGGCCTTTGCTTTAATGCTGACCTATATTTTACATTCAATATATTTGTCTATAAAATTTATCTTGTTGAAGGTAGACATACAAATTAGTTAGCCACACCCAATCTTTTGATTACAATCAAATTTTATATTGAGGAGCCAGAAGATATGGACTTTCAAAGTCATAAGGGAAGAAAATCCCTGTACTCTTAAATGGATTTATTGTTAAAAATGGCAACAAGAAAGGTGAATGAGTGAAGGGTAGAATTGGGTCTACTTTAATAAAGTGAAGGTTCCTAGTCTTGTTTGTCATACCCTGAGTAGACATGGACTCTCTCTGGGAAGGTCCTCTCTTACCTGATGAAATGTTTGTGTTGAAGCAATTCCTGGTATACCCCTGGATTTCCAGATAGAGTGGTGATGGGAAATCTGTGCAAGGCCTGCACCCCAAAGAAAAAGCCAATCAACATGTAAAGATGGGGATGAGAATGTTGGAGGAAAAGTGTAGGGGAGAGGATCACAGACTTCCAGACTCAGCTGGGACAACTTCCTTATCTTGACGAGCTAAGGAAGAGAATCTCACTTTACCTTTCTGGATCTAAGAAACACTGTGTTCATCAGATGGTAACTGAATGGATACACAGCTAGACATTTACTTCTGGATCCCAGGAACAATAGGCCTAGATGTTGCTAGTAAAACTTGGGATTGTGGAGGTAGTTTAGGGATCATGGGATAGGGTGCAACAGACCAGGGTTTAAATCCTGGTTTCACCACTATGATTATTTGAGCTAGTTACTCAATCTTTTTAGGCCTCAGTTTCCCCAGTCTCTCCCTCACTGTTGTTGGGGAGATGAAATGATGTTGAAATGAGTTTCGACATCAGGTCAATAAATGATGGCTGATATTAATATCATATCATCTTTATCATTATTGCTTTTTGAAAGTTTATTTTTCGGTAATTCAATGAAGCAGCCAAGTCCTGACACCACACATGGCTCAGAGAAGTAAGAGGACATTGTTCTCAGAAGTAGTGAATAGTTTCAAATGACATTCCAAATTTAATTCTTGGTTCACCCAATTTGGGACATTTGAGTCACTGGGTCGTTGCCAGTGCTTCCCTTCTGGCCCTTGCTCCAGCCCACACTGGGAACTGGTCTTACGTTTAGAACAGTCTCGGGGCAGAAGGTTGGCATGTGATGCAGAAACACGCAGGCTCCTTGGAGCCAAGCTCCCAGCACACTGCTCAGTGACAAGCTTCCACTGAGGGCATCCCCCAGATACCAGAAGACATCTGTCGGCTGGAGGTCCATCCACTGTCTAAAGAAAATAAGAAAAATGTCTGAGTTCCCCTGTGGCAGTACTAACAACAATATAATGATTAGCTATCGGGCACTAACCACTCAAATGAGAGTAAGTACAGGCTATTTATTCAGAGCCGTAGCAAAGGAGTCAGCCACCATCACCTGCATCTTGGCAGAGATGCAAAGGCTGGCAGAGGAGTGAGAAGGCTCTGTAGTGGGAAAGGGGAAGACTTCAGGCGTGCCCTGTGCCCTGGCTGGAGGAATTTGGGAAGGACAGGAGTGTGGGGGTGTGTGTGGGGGGGTGGGGTGTGAGGGGTTGGGGGGTTGTGGGGGTAGGGGGGAGGGAAAAGCAAGAGGTGGGTTAGCTAGAGGTGAGTTGTTCTGTGTGATAGGTGTGACTTTCTCTGCTGGTTCTAAGTTAGAAGGGAGGAAAAAGTAAGGGAAGGTGTCAGTTATTAATCAAGTCTTGACCGTTTGGGGCTCATTATTACAGGGGTTATTTGACTCCCTGCCAGCAGGAGTCTGATGTCCTCCGAGCCTCGCTTAGAGCCAGCAGCTGGCTTCCTGGGCACGTTCTGCATTTGAAAGTTTGGATTCCTGAGTTGGTTGCTCCAGACGCTGGGTCAGAGCCTTGTTTCTCTGCGTGGCCTGGCCACTGTCGACATGTATGTGCAAGCTCTCACACCATGTACTGGTACTGTGACAAGTGCTTTACATGTGATAAGAAGCTGCATATTTTCCTCTCCACAAATAGCAACATGCTCAACACTCTCTCCTTTACTCCTTGTTTTCCTGGCCAATTCATACCGAAGGTCTTTGCATAGCAAGGAGATAGAGACATAATATTCCATTGGATAGTAATGCATTATTTCTTTCTCCAGCTGTCTAGCACAACCCTTTTGCTATTTCAGTGTTACAAGAATATCTTGTTCATGGAATCTTGATATTTTGGACACTTGGCTGCAAGTCTATGGCAAACATTCCTGGAAGTAGGCTGCTGGTAAAAGGGCACGTGAGTTTGTAATCTTGAGAAATGCTGCTAACATTTACCTCCAGTAGACCTGATTCTTAAATAAAGCCTACTGGATTGGCATTTTGATAGATGCGGGAACGTCTTCTAGGTATGAAATAGCTCGTTCAAGGCAGTGAGTGCAGACTTGGGATAGGAACCCAGGTCTAGTGAATTCCATGGACAGTCTGGGTTCCATCAGTCTTGTCCATGTTATGGTAGCTACTGTGAATTCCGCTCCAACTACATGCCGGACACAGAGCTAAGCATGCTGCTCCAATAGCTCACTTAAATGTGACAAGTCTAGGAGGCAGATATACTGTTTTTATTCCATGGAAGAGACTCATTTATGAGAGTAAGTCATGCCATTACTCTCACCGACAGCACTGCCAGCTAAACCTGGACATGCTATTGGTCATAAGGTACTTGCTGAATTTAAGAGAGTGAAATGTAAAAAAAAATGTGCATCTGAGAGTCCATAAAATGTAGCATTATTCCATTTAACACATGAGGACACTGAAGTGAGCTGAGATGACATGCCTGAGTTCACACCAGTCATTGACATAATTGAGGTTTGAACCCTTACCTGTTTAACGCCTGAGCTACCATTTAGTGCCGACACTTTCCTCGCTCTTGTCCTGGAAACAGGTACCTCCTGGGACTTAGAGCTTCTTCAGAGTAAAGTAGTGGCACCAAAGACATATCCAGGTTTAGCAGGCAGAAGAGGAAGACTAGAAAATGTGCACAGCTGTCGTGCTGGCTGTTAGGAGCTAAATTGCCACTCCTTCTGCCTCCTGATCTATTCATCACGCGTTCTAGATTATTGTTATAGGATAATATATTCCTGCTTAAAAAATCCTCAGTGATTCCTTCTTCTCTTTCCACGACTTCGACTGCAGTCAAGGGGACCCTGCGCTCTCTCTAGCCCCTTGCTTTTTCTCTTCCATGCTTTGCCATTTATACTCTGCTCTGCTTTGCGTGCTCTTTGGCACCCTCATAGCCATATGATGGAACTCCAGATACAAAGTTCACTTCTAATCCTTTATATGCTCCTTTCCTCTGAAAATGATGCCTCTTTCCTCTGAGTCCTGCTAGTACTTTCTCTCTCCCATAGAACCCTGACTTCTGTCATGTATTGTAGTTACTCACATACTACGCTTTGCTTGCTGATGAGTCTATGGACTTTTTGAGGGTAAAAACACTTGACTCATCTTCAAATGAGTCATCGCAGGCAGGATTGACAGTATGTATGGGAAACTAAGCCCTCTCAAAACCAAGCTAAAACATCTAAATCAATTACTTCAATGAGTATCCCACTGAAGAGACAGAAATCCGTTTTAGTGCATTGGATTTACCGAGAGACGGTATGATAAACATTTAGAGCTATTAGAGATTTTTTTAAAGGCTTGTCTGACATGGGATTTTCATCTTAGATGCTGTCTCTAGACCCAAACCCTTCATTAGCTGTGACTCTACCTCTGTGTCTGTCACTCTTACTCATCCCAGTGCCTGTAACAGAACAGGCAACATATAGCAGTGTATTGTTTTGGGATAATTGCCCTGGGCCCCTCCCTAGTTATATGAACTTACTGCTCTTCCTTTGTCTCTCAGAATCTTAGATTTCTGGATCTACAATAATTCACTTTTCATCTTTTTATGTTTTATGTTTTCATCTTTTCATCTTTTTCCACTCTTTCATCAGTCCTATTCCTTTTCTCAGTATTGACATTTTCTGCAGTCATGGGTAAGAAACTTCTTAGTTCTAGTCCCATGAAACACTCTCTTGCCTGTACAAGAAAAGAGCTCTCAGGCCTGTAAAGGTTGTGTGAGGAGCGTACCTTGAGGTTTGGCTAAATCCCATTCCCAAACCATAGTGGGAAAATGCGACCATTTGGGGAGAACTTGTTGTTCTGTTGGTGAAAAAAATGGCCATTGGATCTTGACTCTTGGTCGCCACACAGGTCTGCTTAGGAGGGGCGACTCTGTAGGTCACAAAAGAGGCAACAGTGAGTTCTACATGCAGGTTCTCTCTGGTCACCTCACACTCATAAGAACAGCCTGTATCAAAAAGACTGGAAAACAGCCTGTGTTGGCAAGGGTGCTGAGAAAGGGACTCTTGCACACTGTTGGTGCGAATGTATATTGGTGCCCAACCCAGCACTTTCTTGACTCACCTCACTTGATCACTCTAACCCATCCCTGGATCCAAAAACACTTTATTTATAATAATAGGTAGCTAGGGCCTCCCTGGTGGCGCAAGGGGTTAAGCACAGCACTGTGAAGCAATCCCAGCCTCTGCAGCACAAGTTTGATCCCTGGCCAGGGAGCTGACCCACATGGCACAGCAGACCTCTCCTGTCTCACCCGCTGCTCCCCTCAGCAGTGTATTTCATTCAGTCTTCACGTTCTGCTCCCCACTCTGTCTCTGGTGAATCCTCTCATGCCCCCCGCACCTCTGGCCTGTACCCCAGTTCTTGTATGCATAAATAAATAAAAAAATCTTTAAAAAAAATAAGCAGCTAGTCCAAGGACGGTAGTTTGCCAATTTGATTTTCTTTAATTTCAGAGAATATTAAAAATTAATTGGATTTTAAAAGACTTCCAAGACGACCTTGTAGTTATAAACTTTAAATCTACAATACAAACATCAAAGTTAGATACAAATATAGATTTTAAAACTTCAAATTGTTTTTTTGATTATTTTATAAACGCATGCATGTTTAAAAATTTATTTTAAAGTTCAAATGGTATTTCTCTCTGTCACTGAGTATTTGGGTGTTCCTTTTCGTTTCGTGCCAGAAGTGAGTCCTGTCGGTTTGCTCCTTCTTGGCCAAGGTGGCCTCTCACCCTGACAGCTGCACCAGCCTGCGTCCCAGTCTTATTACTCCCTTTTTTGTGCTCTATTGTTCCTCCAGCTGCCAGAGTGTGGTGTCAACAAAGTAAATCCAATCAAGTCCTTCTCTCCAGGGTTTCCCAGATGGCTTCCTGCATAATCTACAGGGCATCTAGTATCACTGTCTCTTGCTCTTCAACCCTGTCCACCCACTCTCTTACTCACCGTATTTGGCATCCTTCCTGTTCCTCAAAACAGATCCAGGGCACTCCTGCCTCCGGCCCTCCTTTCCCTCAGTGATCCCTGTGCCAAGGACATGGTCCCCATGGATTTTCAAAAGGTTGCCATGTTGGCATTCAAATCTCAGCTTAAATGTTCTCTCCCCAGAAGCCACTAAATCTAAAGTAATGCTCCCCTCTCACATCAGGTTACTCCTTCTCAATGCCCTGCTTTTTTTGAAGCTTCTTTTGCAGTCTGTCTTGCTCATTTATCATTTGTCATTAAAAAAAAAAAATCCCTCAGTGGGACACAATTTGGGCTAAGACTTGAATTTGTGCTCTCCAATTTTCAGATCTAAGGCTCCCAAATTAATGCCATTACTTTATTTTAACCTCTTTGTGTTTTTCTTGGTCAGCCTTCTCCCAGAATTAACACTCCCAATTTTGGGAGGTAAGACTTTCACTAAGACTGAGAACTTGTAAGACAGATCAGGCATTCCTGTGTTGGGAGTGTTCTCCCGTCAGACAGACATTACTGACCAGACGTTACTGACCTGCTCCCCTCTCTCCTTCCACATTACCCACATTGCTTCTCACATATGCCTTCCAAAGTCGGACATTTTGTGATTTTAGTGCCCTGTTTAGTATCAGTGCCCGCTCACCGCATCAAATCCCTGAAATCCAACCATCCATCATAGCTCTTATCTGATACCAAGAGCTTGGTCTTCAAGGTGGGGCAGTTGGACAGCACAGAGTCAACAAGTGGAACCACAGCCTTGTTGACCACAATGCATTGGGCCTTAGATGTGTGCAGCTGATAGAGAATCTCCTTGGCAGTCATTTGGGGTGTTCCTGGCACAAAGGTGATTCCTACAAGAGCCACAAAGGAAGATTTTATTCATATTTTTTAAGTGAGAATATCTCCTCGAGTATTCTGGCAAGCACAGGTGGTCTCTTGAATACTATCTCTCTCTGGGATGTAACCTCGCCATTGGGCCAGCAACAAAATGGCAGCCAGCGAACAACTGAGAAGTGGGGGGGGCACCGACCTTTGTTACCATTTACCTTTTCCCCTTCAAGCAGCCCATAATTTCCATGGGCTGCTTTTCATGGGTCAGATAGTTATTTGAAATGTAGGCTGATTTTGAAATTGAGTGATGCAAGGGGGTTACAGAAAGGCCCTCTTGTTCTTTCTCCCTTGCCTGACAATGGCTGGTGTGTGGGTTCCTGGATTTGCATTAGACACAAAATGTCCTTCCTCTGTTCATGGGCTGTTCCTTAATCTTCCTTTCATCCATATGATACTTATTTTGGGCTAACTAGGTGAGTGGCACAGACTGGGTGTGTCTGCTGCCCCAGATTGTTCTACGATTGTGTCAAGCAGAGGCTTCCCTTGACTGCTCAGGTCTGGAGAGTTTGAATATTTCTGGAAAAATTGATTATGATATTGCCTGTCTTACCATAATGCTTATACACCCTGTTACAGACTTCCTAATTTTCTAAAGGATCTGGTTTACCAGTGCAGACATTTCCCACCTCCTCTAACATGGATAAACAAAATACAATACACATATGTAGGTATATATGTAAAATGGAGTACTATACATCCATAAAAGAATGGAGTGTTAATACATGCTATAATACGGGTGAATCTTAAAAACATTGTGCTCATGCTCTACCAACTAAGCTAGCCAGTCAGACCAAATCATGAAATTTATTTTGAACTACAAAAGGTCCTCGTAGCAAAACAATCCTGACAATAAGGAACACAAACTGAGGTGACATACTTGCTGACTTCAAACTATGCTACAAAGTGAGAGTAATGAAAATAGCATGGTATTGGAATAAAAACAGTCACACAGATTAAAAGAACAGAGTTGAGAGCCCAGAAATAAAATCACACATATAAGGACAACTTGTTTTTGATAGAAAAGCTAAGAACAATGGAACTAGGAAAGTCTCTTTAATAAATAGTATTGCATTTCTGGCAAGAGTATGAAATTACACCACTATCTAATACCATATACAAAAGTTAATTCAAAATGGATTAAAGACCTGGATATAAGACCTGAAACAATAAGATATGTAAAAGAAAACATAGGTGACATACTCCTTGATATCAGCCTTCAGATGAGTTTTGGTACTCACTACAATGGCAAGGCAAACAAAGTAAAACTAAACAATTGGGACTACATCAAACTGAAAAGGATCTACACAGCAAAAGAAACCAGCATTACAACGAAAAGATATCCTACTGAGTGGGAGAAGCTATTTGTATATTATATATCTGACAAGGGGTTAATATTCAAAATATACAAAGAACACATAAAACTCAATAACAAAAAAAACAGTCTTATTAAAAAATGGGCAGAGGATCTGAATAGACTCTTCTCTACAGAAGACATGCAGATGTCCAGTAAGCTCATGAAAAGATTTTCATCATCTCTTATTGTTAGAGAAAGGTATCAGAACAAGGACATACTAGCATACAACCAATAACATGACTATTATCCAAATGACAGGGAGCAACAAGTGTTAGGATGTGGACAGAAGGGAGCCCTTATAAGTGCTGGGAATGGAAATTGGCATAGCCCTTATGGAAATTCTTCAAAAAATTAATAACATAATTACAGGGCCTCCCTGGTGGCGCAAGGGTTAAGCACAGCACTATGAAGCTGTCAGAAGTCTCTGAAGCACAAGTTTGATCCCTGGCTGGCCAGGGAGCTACCCACATGGTGCAGCAGACCTCTCTGATCTCACCCACTGCTCCCCTCAGCAGTGTATTTCAGTAGATCCACCTGTTCTTCTCCCTCCTCTGTCGCTGGTGAATCCTCTCACCCACCACACTGCTAGCCTGTACCTCAGTTCTTGTATGCATAAAAAAATAAATCATTTTAAAAAAAGAACATAATTACAATATGACCCTGAGATTTCACTTCTGGCTATTTATCAGAAGACTAGGAAAGCACTAATTCAAAGAGACATAATGTACTGTCAAGTTCATTACAGCATTATTTATAATAGTGAAGAGCTGGAAACAAACTAAGTGCCCTCTGACTAGTGGGTGAATAAAGAAGATGTGTTGTCTATACACAATGGAATAGTATTCAACTTGTGAAAGGTGAGTATGGCTAGCCCTAGAGGGGATTAGTGAACTTAGCAAAATAAGCAAGACAGCAAAAGATACATGCTGTATGCTCTCACTCATACGTGGTATACCAAAAAACCAAACAGATGAACTAAGCAGAACCATTCATGTATCCATTGATCACTGTAAATCATTTTAATTATTACCATGTAAATGGCCCCTACCCTGCTTTGGACTGATAGCTGCAGCCTATGCTGGACACGGCCACAGAAATCCCTTCATATAACTTGACCTCAAATGAAAGAGCCGCTGGGCCCGGGCCAAACGGGTCCGTGCCCCTCAGGATAACCTAGTCCAGTGGGAACTGGGAAGACTTTGGGATCCCGGGTGTACACGAGCGTAGGGCTGGCTCACTTCTTTTTTTTTTTTTTAAGATTTATTTATTTATGCATACAGGAACTGGGGTGTAGGCCAGAGGTGTGGGGGGGGGGTGAGAGGATTCACCAGAGACAGAGTGGGGAGCAGGACAGGCAGATCTACTGAAATACACTGCTGAGGGGAGCAGCAGCGAGACAGGGGAGGTCTCCTGCGCCATGTGGGTAGCTCCCTGGCTGGTGAATCCAACTCGTGCTGCAGTGGCTGGCCATAGCCAGGTAGAGCTCTTTAACCACTGCACCACCAGGGAGGCCCCGACTCGCTTCTTTCTCTTCGGTCTGTGCCACCACCTGGCATTCTCAAGGGAATTTGCTCTTTGAGTCACTTTTTTCAGGTTTTCCTGACTAACAACCTGTTAGCAGGCAAAGGCAATAATCAACTACGTCATTTTGGACAACTCCTAATGATGCAAGCTTGGACCATCTTAGAGACAATTATTTGAATTTCACGGGAGTCTCCCAATTACTAAAGAGAAAAAAAAAAAAAAAAAGGATGCCTGTATTCTGTATTCTGAGGGGAGAAGACAAGGAGGCCTGAATTAGAGTGGGATTTTTCATCAGTACCCTCACATCAGTACCCCTGCGAGATTGCCCATGATGGAGGCATTTCCTGCTGGTGATATTTTCGCTGGAGAGTGAGCCTCAGAGGCCTGTCAGATGCCACAAGGGGAAGGACATCCTAAAAGCATCCCAAACCTCACCTCAAGATCATTTGGGGGTTCCCCAGGACTGTCCAATACGGGAATGGAGAGGGCCCTCTTAGGACTGTCCCCACGCTCTTTACAGATGTGGGAACTGAGACCCCAAGAGGGCGAGGGGTGTTTGTTTTGTTCCTTGATGTTGACTGAGCTTGGACAGAGCTTTATATTTCCTTGAAGCCACGAATGGCCTGGTAGCCTAGCATGCTACATGGATTATTTGCTTTTTAATTCTCATAGAAATGCAGTAAGACTGGTTCTATCTCTCTGCTTAGTTCATAGACAAGGAAACTGACTCAGAGTGGCCTTACAGTACACTGTAAGTGTGGTCAGTGGTTGAAGTGGGGTTCAACCAAGGCCTGTTTAAAGACCCCGATACCATGAGAGAAATTCAGGAATTGAGGGCCATCCCTTTAACACCTCTCCATGGTGTGAATGATTTGAGGTCAAGATTCCACCTGAATTCCCATGTGGGGTCCCTCCCCAGCCTCACCTAACTGCACACAGGCCAGGAAGATGCAGTAGGTTTCCGGTGCGGGGCCCAGGATTATCATCAGCCGGTCCCCACGGTTGAGGCCGCAGGTGTCTGAGAGGATGCTGGCTGCCTTCTGGAAGAAATGACTCATCCTCTCAAAGCTCCATTTATCCTCTTCTCCTTCGGTGTTGACTTCCCAGAGAGCAGGGTGAGCCTCCCTGTGTCCATCCTAAGTGGGATGATATTCAAAATATTTGCTATTAGTCAACATGGACCATGGCTCCTGGAGGCCCATACCGGTCAGATACCACTCTTGAGTGGTCAGATCTTAAAGACAGTCCAGGATGCTTGGGGCCTTGGGAGCAGCGACTATTTCTCAAGAGGCATGAAATATTTTAATGTTTAAGCAACTGGCCTGCTGGTACTGAGGAGTTTCAACAAATGTAGAGGAAACTCGACATTGGCGGTGTTGAAACAGCCTTGCCTAGAAGAAGGCAAAGACTTCCCAGGGCGCCATCTTGTTTGGAGAGAAAGAGCGTCTTCTTCCCGACCCATTCTAATTTTATTTTTGCCCCAAACATACCTTATTGACTGCTGCAATTTATTTTTCAGTGGGGCAATTTGTGAGAAAGAAAGCCTCTATTTTCCAACACTGCTTCGTGGGGGCACAGATGAAGGATCCAGCCCTTGTAAGCATCTCCTTCCCGACGAAGCTTTCCTCTCCATTCTAGAGGGTGGGTTTCCCTTCCCTCTGGATGATGGAGGAAGAGAAGTGGCTTCCTCCTCCCACCCTCTTCGTCGGCCTTCCCTTCTGTCCTCTCTCTCCTCTTTTTTCCTACTTCTGTCCTCTTTCCTGACCCCACTTCTTTCTCCCTTGTCAACCTCTTTGCTCCCTCCGTCTCTTTATCTCACCTTTCTCCTCCTTCCTGCACTGACAGTGGCCTGGTCCACAGGATCCTTCTCCATGTGGCCATTTTAGAACCAATCATTACAACAGGGGAAATGGGGAGTGGGCAGGGTGTTCCCCAATCCGTCCTCCGCACATGATGAATAAGGATAACACACCCAGACCCTCTCTCCATCAATTTTCTGTTTGCTTATCAATGATGGGTTTTTTTTTTTTTTTGGTGGTTGTGGGGGTGGGGGGTTTGGGGGGTGGAGGGGGGCTGGGGGGTGGGGGTGTTCCAGGGCCAGGCCGAGAACCCATAGCTATTTCTCCAGCTTCCTGAAGTTTTCATGTGAGCTGTTAAATATGAAACCATCTGCAATATGATTTATTCCTGAGGCCGTGGGAGTACTTCTCAAGTTCCTGATCTAATATCCTTGTCTGACCTCTGGCAACTCTGTTCCAACTCAAAATCCTTCGGTAGCTCCCGACACCCAATCACACCAGTTCCAAACTCCATCCCTCAGTCTTCAGGCCCTTTTTGGTTTCAACAGCTTCTTGCCTTTCCCCCCTCAAAACTGACTACTTTTTATATATTCATTTATTTTTTTTTTTTACATCATTGTTCATTTTTAAACAATATTTGCTTCCCCCACCCCCCCAGGTGTAGTCCCCATAGAGTTTCCTTCCCCAATGCACCCGTGCACCAGCCCCTTAGTCCCCTGTGCGCATCCCTCCCTCCCTCTGATCCCTCTCCCACCTCCCCTGCAGGATGTCTCTGATTTATAATTGTCTGCTTTTGTTTTGTGGTGTTTTGTATTGTTATTATTTTAAGACATCGGTGTAAAAAAACTCACTACTTTTTATATGACCCTATACTCAGTCAATATACCCCTGAATATTTCTCATAGTTTCTTATTGTCCTATTTCTACTCACATTTTCTTTGCCTACAGCTTCTTTCTCCATATGTCTTTGTTGAAATTCTACCCATTCTTCAGGATCCAGTCTTGTCTCCCTGCTTTACAAAATCTTTCTAAATTCCATCACCCAGATGTAAACTTATTTCCCTTTGTCCCTCCTGCCTCTTACCCTTTGTGGTTCTCTCTTGCTTAGAGGGAAAAAAAGAAAGCATCCAACTGTGAGCAACTCTGGGGTTGGGTCTCTAAAACTTAGTGCTGGGAAATGCTCAGAATAGGTTTGTTGAATGAGAAATAAATCATATCATTCTGACAATAATATTTACAAGTGGTGATAAAAACAGAGTATTTGCAAGCTGTTAAATCCTATGCTAGGCACTTTTTTATTAATTGTTTCCTTTAATCTTCTCAACAACACTTTGAAACTAACATTTACATTTTACCAATAAGAAAACTAGGCTTTAGGGGTAAAAAATTTGCTCAAATTTGACAAAGCCAGAATTTGAACACAGGTCTGTCTGGCTGTCACGCCTGTGTTCTTAGCATTTTGCTATAACATCTCTCCTCTGGATTTATACTTTCTAGCACCAGGCACAGAGAGGGTTTGAATTTTATCATCTTTGGTTGTAAACCCCTCCAGTTGGCCCTGGCCAATATTTCGAAGTTAAAACACAAGTTTTACCTTTTCCAGTTGGGACCAATGGTCCAGCACATCCTTTGCAAAATTAAAGTGCTGGGGCACTGCTTGGCCGAGGGTCCTGTGGTCAAGAGATCTGAAGGTCCAAGTGGCAAATTTTCTCTTTGGCTTGCAGCAGGCTCCACGTCCCATTCGGGCACACCGGACCAAAGAGAAGAGCTGGAATTGGCCCCTCATTTGGTTCAGACGGGGAACTGCCTAGGCAAATGGAAGAAAAGGCAGGGTGGATGGGTGGCTCAGAGAGATAAATTTGAGGTTGGGGTGCTGAGAATGAATCTATAAAGCAACATTTCTCACGTGAATGCACGCAACAAATCTCTGAAGAGGGAGCAGATTAGTGTAAATATTTACCAATGTCAAAAGTCTGTGTGGGGAGCTTCCGGTGTTGGAAGGAGGGTGGAACTGTTGTCTTCTGTCCCCTCTACTTACAATTTGTAAAGTGGCTGTTAGTTCTGAGGAAAGAGGCATCTTCCTGACCATAGAACAGACAAGTCTTGGTGGACTTTCATTGGCTCCTGAGCCCAAAAGATAATCACCTTTGCTTTTTGGAGGTGGGGCTTCAGGACTATGAGGTAAGAAGAAGCAACAGATGCAACTTGATTTTTAATATAATGCCAGAAGTAGGTCACAGGCTGCAATGCCAAGTGTGATAGGCTATAAAAGACAGAACTTACATAGGATTTTATCACGCAATATTGTAGAACAGGAAGGAGATTGATCAGCAGGAAAAGGAATTAATGGTATTGAATCCAAGTGGATATTTAATCCATTAAAAAGTGATGTTTTCTTTTAGAAATGTGCCCATTTCTAAATATGGATTGCTTATTCTAAAATAGTGATTGCCTCTCCAGACAGAGTAGGTGGTGGAAATTTTGGGACATTCAGGTAGGGAAAGGAGACCTCACAATATTCATCAGAAGAGGGGAGGGTCAAGTTAGCCAAATCTAAAAAGCTTATTTGAAAGGTATTGATATTACATACTTGTTTGTCCAATAAAATATTAAAGATCTATTATTTTGAAGAGATTTTAACTTTACTTTTCTATCTATGGGATGTGTAACCTTGTTATTGGGGGTTGATACTCTTCACCCCAATTCCTAACCATGTCACCAAACCCAGGAGAGAATAAACAATGACTGCCTTGGATGATGGGTGGACTTATTCAAGTTTCAGAAAGCCGGGATTACTGGTTTTAGTTTGATGATACTGGCATATCATACATTTACTTAACATTAGAGTGGAAAATAGTCCTAATAAATGTAGTTCAAACTATGTTAATTATTTAAAGAACTATTCATAAACATACTCGTAGAACATTTCCCCACACAAAGAAAGTCCTTATTTCCAAGAAAATATCACTTAAAAATCTCAGAATTTGATTCTCCTAGACCTGAATTTCATTTTACCTTTGACCCAAGGTATTGTTCCTTCTAAACATTTCCATGCCTTGGGTTACCTCATCATGAGAAATGGCCTAATGCAATTATTTCCTGATTTCTTGTCTGTTTTCCCCACAGACACTTAATTTTGTCCAGTCACATTGCCAGCACATAGCAGAGAAAGCATTCAGTGAATGCTTATGGAAGGAATAAATGAATTAACCTGCTAGTGGATGACCTTTAGAAAGCTGCTTAACCGCTCTGAGCCTCCAGTCACCTGTAAATTGTATGAGTCAAGATCTTTGAGTCCTTATCTCATAGAGTCACCATGAAGAGTAACTTAATTCACATGTTAAGTGCTCAAAATGAAAACTAGCACACAGAAGTATGTAGAGAAAGTCATTGTTATTCAAATACATAGTGAAAGTCAGGTATTGTTCTAGGATTGCTTGCCCCCAGGAGATTCTTGACACATTGGAATCTTATGAAATAATGAATGTAACTGCCAGCCAAAAATGGGAGCACTTAAATAAATGTATAATGGACACAACAATAAATTTAAAGATTTTCATCCTGAATTAAGAAATGAGTGTTCTTGACCCTGTTCAAGGAATTTCAGACTTTCGCAAAATAGCAGAATGAATGTGTCTCTACATAGCTCTCAGATCTTAAGCCTACCCTTATATGCTTAGGAAAAGGAGATATTTTGGGACAAGTCTGGTTGCACAAAGGCTGAAATTTTTTTCTTTCAAAAGATCCATTTATTTATTTATTTATCCATTTATTTATCCATTTATTTATGGGGTACAGACCAGAGGTGTAGGGGGTAAGAGGATTCACCAGAGACAGAATGGAGAACAGAACAGGTGGATCTTCTGAAATACACTGCTGAGGGGAGCAGCGGGAGAGCCAGGAGAGATCTGCTGCACCATGTGTGTAGCTCCCTGGCCAGGGTTTGAACTTGTGCTGCAGTGGCTGCAGATTGCTTCATAGTGCTGAGACTTAACTCCTTGTGCCACCAGGGAGGCCCTGACAAAGGCTGAACTTCTAGTACTAGAAGCTATTGGAGGAAAAGAATACAAGTCACCAGTTTTTTCTAAGACCAGGATACCCTATATGGTAGATTACAAAAATGGCAACAACCCTTAGAAGAGTCTCCTATTAAGAGGTAGATCCTATTTTTCTACTTTTTGAAAATGGGAGGGTGTGGGTGAGACAAAGTCTGAAGGGTTAACTTGCTCTCAAACCCTAAGAGTACATTAAAAAAAAAAAATCTTACCTAACTTATCAAACTTTCTGAGACTTGATTACAGACACTGAAAAGACTGGAAATTTATCAAAAAATCTTGAGCTGATCTCAAGGCTGGCTGGGAATTGAAAACCCAGAAATCAAAATGACACAGAAACCAGGAGCTAGTTCTCCTATCTCAATCAAATGCCCCGAGGGAGGAACTGGCTGGTTCTAGCACTTACCATAACAAAATTCACCAGAATTTTGCAAACTCTGCAAAAAAGTGGTGTTGTCTAAGACCTTAACAAGGTTTCTAAGAGAAAAGCAACCACAGATGCCAGTAAGTCAGCCCATGTGACCCCTCCCCCTCCATAGTAAGCCCTCACTGAGCCTAAGGAGGCAAGACGGTTGCTTGGGACCTGCCATCTTCTCAGGTCCCCAGTACCTGGCTAAACTGCTTTCCTTGTAGCAGTCTCCTCTGGTGGCTTGGCTTTCACATGACAAGTTGCTGGGCCTTGGTCTCCATAACCTTGTGACGTGCTGTGGTCCAACAGAATGCAGTTGTAATGATTCCATGAACATTGGATATCTGAATCTAATAATAGGATAATGGTGGAAATCTGATTCTCCTCCTTACCTGGGATTTGCAGGTGTTTTCTTTTTTTTTAAAGATTTTTATTTATTTTACAAGAGCTGGGGTAAAGGCCAGAGGTGCAGGAGGATGAGAGGATTCACCAGAGACAGAGCGGGGAGCAGTACAGGCCTATGGACCAAAAGCACTGCTGAGGGGAGCAGTGGACGAGACAGGAGAGGTCTGCTGGGCTATGTGGGTATCTCCCTGGCTGGCCGGGAATCGAACCCACACTGCAGAGGCTGCGGATAGCCCCACAGCGCTGCGCTCAACCCACTATGCCACCAGGGAGGCCCTGCAGGTTTGGCAGGGCCAAAAAAAAGAAATTGTTTGGCAGGGCCAAACAAAGAAATTGTTTTGGCTTTCTCTATACTGAGGCTCAATCTGAGGTATAAACTGAAGGTTTTCTCAGTTTGGTTTGTGCTTTTTGTGGACATACACAGTGACTTTTATCATCCAGAATGAACAAGATCTGGTGAAAGCAAACTGTAAGCATTTATTTGGAATTTTATTAGACTTCAGCCCAGGACACAAATTCAAAAAGCTCTTGAATTGTGTTTGATTTGCCTGAACGGGATAAGGCTTATATCCACACAGAAAAGTTGGCATTATAGTCACTTCTGTCAGCTATTTGAATAAGGATTACAAGTCCATCAGGTTCCAGAATGATTGTCCATTATAAAAATGAGGCTATGCTTGAGTTGGGTTCCAACTGGGGCAATAACATCCAGATCAGGTGAAAAGTTAGTTGAGCAATGATTGGTCGAGTTGCAATCCTGAGTGGTTTGTGGTGGGCTGGCTTGTTCACATTTCCTTCCAGTAGGTCTTTGTATCTATACATACCTGCACATGCCTGGACATGGGGCCTGATTCTCAATAGTCACCCCCCCCCCCACGGCTTCCACTTCATTTTAGTTACGCAGATTCAAATGAGACCAAAATGCTTCCTATTTCTTATCTCTAACTTTCCCTGCTTATATGGTTGCTTTTAAATATCTGAATCTTTAATGGCTGTTTCCCCAAAGGAGAAGCTCCCTGGCTGTTGTCCCTGAGCTTCCAAGAGGGAAGCTGGTGAATTCTCTTTAAAAAAAGTCTCATTCCTTGAGATGTATTCTATTTTTTCTGCTTAACATAATAAACTAAAAAATAACATCTCAAGGAAAGAATGTTAACAGGAGTATTGTGTAGATGAAAGTGTCAAGATGTTGACAATATTTGCCTCGATAGTATAATGATCATTGTAAGTAATTTTTTCTCTTCCCAGACACTTTTGCATACTTTCTGTATTTCCACAGAAGCATAGATAAGTGCAGCTTTCAGGAAAAAATAAAACACAAAGAAAAAAACCTCACATTC